GAGCAGGGAGCCCGATGTGGGACTCGATCCCAGGACCCTGGGATCATGACCTGAGCTGAAGGCAGACGTTTAACGACTGAGCCACCCAGGTACCCTGTCTGTATTAGTTTTTGATAGGTCTTGGATGCAAATGGTAATCCAGTTTGGGAAGTGGGTTTCCAAGTCCCTGCTTTGGACAGATGCGATTTGGGGGTTGTGCTCCCTGCTAACCTATGACTTCCCAGGCAGGGGAGGGCAGCTTGATCAGATGGTCCTTTGCTGCCTCTATTATTGACCTCATTCCGGCTCCTGTTTCTCAGTTACTTTGCCTGAAATTTCCTGGGGAAGAGAGAATAATTGGGGGGCGGAGAGCTTCGAGGTGGGTGTTTGTTGCAGCCCTAGAGCCTCAAACAGGATCCCTGTTGAATATCCAAGTGCATATCAAAGGCACCTCCAACTTCAAGGCCTCCTCCCAGCCCATGTCCTGCTCCACCCAAACTTCAATCAGGGAACACAAACAACAGTGAAGTTTGCCAAAAGAATTCAAGAATCAGTGAGATGTTTTGACCAGGGTATGGGAAGGATGAGTAGGGCAGAAACCATCAAAGATCTGTCTATACCCAAGACAGAGATGGGGGACCCAGGTAAGGCATCACTTTGAGATGAGGAAATCAAGGGATTCAAAAGAGACTTCAAATTCTAGCCTCAACAAGAAGCTGGAACATGTGGCGCTCAGTGAGGGGTTATCCTATTTGGAGGTCCAGCAGATTTCCGGCAGGCTCAGCCAAACATGGAGATCTTAGATCCTTGGATGTCATGGTGTGGTAGGGAGGGCAGGAGGCCAGGGAGGCCTCACATGTCTTCGGCCCTGCACAGGGCTAGTAGAGCTGACCGGCAGTCCCCTTTCACTGCCTCCTGCAGACAAGAGAGTCAAGTGTTAGACCCCACTACCACCATGGCCCAGGCATTCTGTTTCCTCCCTTGTGCTGGTCCAGAACTGTCTGATGTCAAGAGTTGTGTATGAAATTAACCAAAGACTCATGAGTTCTCCGGGGCATGAATATGCTCGGTGGTGTGCAGGGAGGGCAGAGTGGAGGTAAGGGGTGAAGCTCTGGGGCTCCAGGTTAAGAACTAGCCAAGTCTCACCTGGAGAGAAGAGTAGAGGGACTTGCCAGATTTCTTTTTGAACTCCGCTCGGATGCTTAGAAGGTCAGTCTCACTTCGAGAGATAAGGATGCGCATCAGGACTTGGTAATTGGGCTTGATGTCCTGGTAGAGGGAGAAACAGAAGGGGGAGAGGGTGGTAGTAAGCTTCTCACAGAGTAGAGACTGGACAGCATGGTAAATTACTCTAGAAAGGGGAAACGAGGTGTGAATCCAGGGAAAAGAGAAGTCTCCGTTATCTAAGAGGAAAATGTATCCTTGTCCACCCTCATGGAAGGTGATACAGCAGGAAAGATCAGTCTCTGTGGGAGCAGCTGGTTAATTCTCGTTCTGGCCACATGTCTTTCTAGGCCACGCCACTAGCTTAGAGCCTCATTCCTCAAGATCTCAGTGGTGGGCAGCTCCAAAGGCAGTTCCTCCAAAAAGGATAGGGAAGACTTGCTACCTATAAAGACTTCCAGCATGAAAGCCAAGAAGTTCTCAACTTCCAAGTTAGTGAATGTCCAAGGAGGATATACCCAGCCTATCCCCAAACTGAGTTGATGGGGCTCTGAGAGAGAGCAGGGTCATGTGGCTTTTGGTTCTGAGCCTGACCTACCAGGGCCACCTCACATCCCCATCTGTATACATCAGTTTCTCCTGGTTGGACCCCTGGGTCCAGCATCACTGTCTTCCTCCTAAGCCTGTACCAAGCCTCCTGCCTTTTGGTTAAGGAAGGTAATGGAGGATTCAGTTTAGAAATAATAGAGCGACAATACGTGAATTATAATTGGTTATATCAAATCATGAATTTTAACTGATTATAATAAATGTGTTAGTTATCATGAGACATTTCTAAATAAAAACGTTGGTTGCAAAAATCCTATTTATGTCATGGGCCGTATACCGGCGCTGTCACAATTTCCTAAAAGCTTCTTTCCCGGTGTTTCCTGTTACTGGACTCACGAGACCCTTCCCAGAACTGCCTGATACCCACACTTAAGGCATCTACACAGATCATAAATTCCCACGAGGGAGAAAAAAAGAAAATGAGGAAGTAACAAGATGCCATATTTCATTTGGACTCATTACCTCATGGTCAGTGCTGAGAGCTGCTTTATCTTAAATTTCATGTATCATCAATTTTGTATTGTGATAAAGATTGTTGATCGCTCCCTAATATCCGTTCTTCCCCTTCTTCCAACTCTTTTATTACTCCAAAGTTGTAGAATTGGGGCAAGGTACTCATTACTGAAAATTCTGGAACATTGATGCACAAGCACCCTGTCTAGCAAACCTACATTAAACATAATTCTTGCCTTGTTACTTGAGAATGTACGTGGCATCTCATACTTCCCCAGGACCTTTTAGTGAACATTCATTGTATGGTTCAAATTGGTCCCAATTTTCCTGAATCAGCCTTCACTGAAGGTCATTTTTCTGAATAAATATTTGTCACAATCTATGTTTTCATATATTTCTCATAAGAGAATTAAGAAGCATATGATTGAGTTTTTCCTTTTTAAAAAAACTTTTCAGAAAAATAGGCCTATATTATTTTGTGACTCCTACTTCTAGGATAAACCTGGCATTTACAACTAAGAGCATGGGTCCCACAATCCAAATACATTATAATCATTTACTGCTGGGATACAAGTTTGTTTATGACCAGAATTTAGACAGATAACCAGAACTCTTCAAATCAGTCTTAGTGTTGGCTCAGTATAATAGTACGGAGTTTACTGGGTAAGTAAAATATTAATCTACTGTCAAAATGGAAATCTCCATTGATGATAAAATAAGTGCACATATGTACTGTCTTTTGAATAGCTGTCAACAAGGCATGATGGTTTCTCACTCAGTATACAAGAAGCTATGCCATCTACCAAAACAATAACTCCTTTTATCTTCTTAAAAATTTGGGTGAGTTTTTTATTTATAGGTTTTGGGGGACAGTTGTACTAATAGGAGACCTAGCTCAATGAGTAGAACGACTGGATTCTGTTTATGAAATTACTCAAACCAACATCACCAATTTAGGTGTGGATAAGAGGGAACTAGGTCCGACCAGTGTGGAGAAAGGTGGTCCTGGGTGCTAGAACTCTAATGGTATAGCTTATAGGATAGACCAACACCTATTTGAGTTGACACATGGCAGTTAAATGTCTTATAAGACCATTATGTGTGTGTGGTTTTTAATTATTTTAAAATTCCAACATAAATAACATACAATGTTATATTAGCCATTATGTGTTTTATAGAAAGCCTATATGATTTATTAGCTGTATATGACCTTGGGCAAAGAATTTAACCTCTCTGTACCTCAGTTTTTTCATCTATAAGACAGATGGAGGGTGGCCATGGAGATTAATTGAAATGTGTGTAACAAGTTCAGCATAGGCCCCGGGACACAATGAGAGCACCCAAGAAATGTTGGTTCTTGTCATCACCATCATTATTCCGGTGACAACTGAAATTGGACATGGTGCTGTCTTACAGAGCAAATTCATATCTATATTTGGCCACCTAGACATCAGTTAGGCCAAAATTTTGGCTTCAGTGCCCTTTTGAGTCAACTCATTTAGCTTTAACCACGGCTCACGCCTCTATTATTCACAAGACAGTTTGCAAACCTAGGAAAAGAGAGCTACTATATGTTTATAAAGTAAATATGTGGTTGTCACATTAGCAACAGTGTGAAACTTCCTCTCTCTTGCCCAGAAGATGTCTCCCCCCAGTTTTTGTCCCAAAGGGAGGGGAAAGAAGTGTCCCTCTCACCTGGAGTGCTTGATGAAGTTTATCAGCAAAGTAGAGCGGTGTGTTCCTGATCACTGAGGCTGCAAGCAGAGAGGGAGAGATGGAGAGAGCCAGCTCCCACGCTAGGCGAGAGCCCTACCCGGCATGTGCTGAACAGGCCCTACCTAGGCTGAGCAGAGCTGCCTGGGCATCTCCGTGGAAAAGGTGGTGGACAGTCTTCTCCAGCTCGTGCCCAGTATACCGCTGGTACAGGTCGAACACTTGTGGGGGGTGTGGGAGGTAGTTAGAAAGATAAATGGGAGCGGGGGTTGATTATCACAGAGAAGGATGAGCCCTCCCCACCTTCCTCAGCCAAAACTCATCATTAGAGTAAGCGGGGAAGACAAGAAGTCTTGCGTGTACCTCGGACGAGGTGTTCAGGATTTCGCTGGGTGAAGATTAGGACCCACGTGCCCTCTGTGCTGGGCCCTTCAGCCTGTCTTAATGCCTGGGAGGGAGGAGTAAACCGGGATCATTGGTTGGGGGTACGGGAGCCACGGTTGTGATGTTCCCAGAATCTGTGATCATGATGTTGGAAATGGGATTCAGAGTGGAAAAGCTTAATTGAACCTGTGACGCGGTTGCCTTTATTTATGGTTAAAACAAACAAACAAAAAGGGAATAGGGCTAAAAGAGGGACTCTGCCCTCACAGCTCGATTCCCCAATTTGGGGAAATCCTGGCACTCGAGGAATTAATCTCCAAGGGAAGGTCTGAGGAGGGTTACCCCACCCAAACGCCCCTGAGAGGAGAATGTGTCAGTTGACGAGCTCACTGCCTGTGAGTTCAGGAATCAGAGGCTAAACGAGTGAAAAGGCTTCAGATGGTCACTACCTGAAACTTCATGTCCTCACCTGTCACTGAGGACTCCCCCAAGGCAAGGAGAGATTTGCAGGACAAGTGGGGACACTTGTCACTGGCTCTAGGAGCGGGTAGAGGAGGGTGTCTTACGTGCGTGGCTGGGCAAGCTCCTCACCCCTGCTCACCTGGACATCCTGTTCCACCAGGTTATAGTCAATGATTCCAGAGTAGCTCTCACGGGCCCCCTAGAAGAAACTCTCTCAGGAGGACTCTTTGAGGGGTAGTTTTTTACCTCTAGGACAACCAACCCAAACCAACCAAAGCCCTCTCCCCAAAGCCTTCTCTTGTTAATTATACCAAAGCAATGCTCCCCCCTCTCCCCTAGCCCCCTCACTCTCCTGAAGGCCAGTCCTCCTCACCATGGCCAGGGCCAGGAGCAGTTCCTGCAAGATGCCGCTGGTCTCACATTTGATGTCCTCCTCAGCCTCCACCTGGAAATCTGGGGTGGGGGCGGGAGCTCTCTGAAGTCTCCTGATTTTTCCCAATGTAGATATTCCCTGTCAAATGCCCAACCCACTGTGCCCTGCCTACACTGTCATCTCCTGCTGGGGGTAGCCTGATGGCTGCTGGTTCCCAGGATGTAAAGCAGAAGCACCATTATGGCCAACCTGAAAACATCCCTAAGCTGTGAGTAACCCATGCGCTGTAGAGTCATGCACCACAGGGAGCCAACCTGCTAGGGGAAGGAGGCGTCTGTTATTTGAGGGCTGGCCAGCAGTCAAGGGGGATAGGGAAACTTACATCATAAGGCCAGATGGCTAGGGCCTGGCCCCCTCATTGGAGGCAAGGAGAAGTGATGTGGAAGGATGTGAAGAAGTGAAAGAAAAAGAAGGAAAAGAAAAAGTGAGAGGTAGGGGACGTGAGAGGTAGGGGACGACTGGGTGGCTCAGTCTGCCTTCAGCTCGTGTCATGGTCCCAGGGTCCTGGGATCGAGCCCCGCGTCAGGCTCCCTGCTCAGTGGGGGGCCTGCTTCTCCATCTCCCTCTCCCCCTGCTTGTACTCTTTCACTCTCAAATAAATAAAATCTTAAAAAAAAAAAAAAAGAAGTGAGAGGTAGGAGAGGGATTTAGAAAGACCAAGAATGGACATCAAAGGAAAATTAGGGAAAGCAAAAAAGGGGGGGTGCTCAGATGAGGATGAGGGAAGGCCAGTTAGCAATTAGTGGGTGAGGCATGTGGCAGTCAAGCAGGGGCCTGAGGGGTAGTACCCATGACTTAGAGAGCAGGTCCCCCACCTTTCCCCCCAGCTGCAGCAAGGTTCCATTCAGCCTGGGATGGGGTGTGAGGGCAGAATCAGGAAGGGGCTGGGAAGATGACATGGGTACCCTTGGGATCGTCACAGTGCCCGACGTTGTCATTACCTCGGAATCTGCCCTGGAGCCCCAGACTAAGATGGCTACTCATTGCTTCTCTTTAAAGAAAGGAAATGATCATCGGGGTGCCTGGGTGGCTCAGTTGGTTAAGCGACTGCCTTCGGCTCAGGTCATGATCC